GGTCTCCCGGATGGAGGGAAGCAATGACTGACTGGACAGATTCCATGCAGAATTTTTGTATCCAGAGGAAGGTCCTGAAGATCTAGGGGGTCCTCATGAAAAGGCTGGGAGCGCCGCAGCCCTGGACCTGAAAAGCACTCTGGGGCTACCTCACAAAAATACTTAGGCAAGCACCCTTAGCAGAGTCCAAGAGACACATTGCAGGCTGGCCCTGCTTGTTCTTTTAATGCGGTCTGGGTAGGGCTTTCATGGTGATATTAGGGATCAGTGGATCCAAAAAGTTGTAAATTGAGCCCATTTCGATCTGCAGTAACTGTTGAGATGAAAAAGTAATTTTGATGAAGCAAGAAACTCTTTTCTTTTCATAGAAGAGAGAAGACATCCTTTCCCCTAGGTCACAAGCAAAAAAATGAAGGCATGCTAAGAGTGGGAGCGGTTACACTGGGCTGTCCTTTTCAGTTTTGTTTGCCAGCACCCAATCACCTGGTAGCAGCATAATGCAATGTGCCAGAATAATTCATCCTGTGTCCCTTAATGTATGAATAAGGAAATGAGCTGATGGTAAAGGAGTTTCCATCAATCCCACAACCCCAAAAGGGGATGAATGGGAAAATACCTGCTATCCTCAGAGTAGAGAGGAGATGACAGTATAAAAGGAACTGCCAGAATCTAGGACACTCTTTTTGTTTTTAGTGAGACTCAAATAAGCATTTTGAAATGAGGATGCTAAGAAAACAAAGAGCACTAGTGTGCATATAATAGACCGTGATACAAGAGTCCTGAATTCTGGAAAGATAAATCAACCCAAGGAGTGCAATGATCCTAAATAGACTCTAATGGAAAAAATAAGTCAAGTAAAAAAAAGTAGTAGCCTACCCCAGGATAGACTCCAGGCAACATAAGAGAATATCAGTTGTAGGGTGTGGGAGGCAATGATGACCACCTTACCAGAAACAGCCATACACAGTCTGGAATAAATAGCTCTAGAACATTAGGCCGTCTGTGCTATAAACATGCGGTTCTGGATGCAATGTTAGCCTCAAGAGCATAAAGGAATTATTTGCATGGTCCTGCCCACAATCCTTAAATGATACTTAGATCTCCTATTTTGTGGATTTGTGATAAACTGATGACATGCAAATAACTTCTGATTTAAGGAATCTCCACAGGGGATTAGTGGAGGGCTCTTGGCTCTTTTGAACCTACTTAACCTTAAACGATGTAGACAAAACTTTGCAAATCTTTTTCCTGTTACCAATCTGCTGCTACACTAAAGCCACAAATAATAAAGGATGTTTCTATCCCATTAAGTCTAGTGTCCTGAATGTTTTTCTTTTTACTATGCTGCTAATAAAAAGGAACAAGAAGTGCCGCAAGAAGTGCCGCAATAAGTGTTCAGCAATGCCTTCCCACTGTATGTCTTACTATAATTGCCTTCATTCCAGCTGTCACAAAAAACACATTACCCCACAAGGCTTGAGGAAAGAATATAAAAAGTGCCTCCAGACAACATGGCTGACGGCTTGTCACAGGAGATTATCCGGAAATTCCTTCCTGTAGAAGGGATTTAATAGGAGCATGTGTGGTACATTCTACTTTCCCAAGTGGCTGTATGATCTTATACTTGAGGATTCAAATCTGGGATGAGATTTTGGCAAGCTTGAAGGATAATTAAAGCCTTGCATGTTTTTGCATATACAGTATCTACGGCTAGCAAGGAGTAGATATATGCAAAAAAAAAAAAAAAGAGTTAAAACTTACCTGCGTCTCCGTCGCGCGCTCCCATCCGAAGATTTGAAGATTCTTGGGCGGCCGCAAAGGGTCTTGGGGCGGGCGCATCTGCAGTACAGATCTTCGGACGGGAGACGAGGAGAGACACAAGGTAAGTTAATGCAGCAGCGTGCACCCGCACAGAAAGTGCCAGGAAGAGAGAGGAGTCAGTGCTGGATCAGAGACCGGCACCAGTCCTGGAGGGACTCCTGAAAACTACTGGAAGATGATCAGATCAAGAGGCATCACTAAGTCCACTGTATGACCAAGCAGTGTATGAGGATGGCTGCATGGAATCATCATACACACAGCAGATTGGTCTGTTACATTTACATTATTAGAGCAATTCCACTTTCAACTTTAACCACTTGCTCACCGCGGTGTTACAGTTCGCAGGCGCGCGTAATTTTAAAGCTTGACATGTTTGGTGTCTATTTACTCGACGTGACCCCGTCTTTTATATTTTGCCAAAAATTTGGGTAATAATAATTGTTTTATAACATAACGTAGGGAGAACAGGTTTTTTTTTTTTTTTTTCGAAATTTTCGGTACTTTTTTCATTTTATAGTAAAAAATAAAACCAGTGGTGATTAAATACCGCCAAAAGAAAGCTCTATCTGTCCCCAAAAAATTGTCTAAAAATCATTCCAGTACAGCGTTGCATGACGGAATAAATGTCAAAGTACCGAAGCGCTGAACACTGAAAAATGGCCTGGACAGCAAGTGGTAAAAATGTTCTTCTTATTTTTTTCCCCACTTAACTCTATTGTTATCATATAGGGGGCTGAGAACCCCCCCCCATGTGATAGCAAAGAGGATGTGACAGGTCCTCTTTATGGAGACATCAGGGGTCTTCAAGGGGCCCAAAGAAGCTGATGAAGCAGAGATCTGCTTTGTTAGCTTCTCTCCAGCGTCTGAAGCTGGAGAGTGACACAAGACGGCGGACAGAGATTGTGTACCGAGCTCCCTCTGATCCCCTGTCACAGAGCCACCATGTTGGTCCCGGGCTATATGCAGGGTTGACATAACTAAACAAAGTAATCGCATGTGCAGATGGTCCGGGCTGTATGTGGTCCTGGAAAGCTGGGGTTTCGCAGCCATGAGGCCAAATGATAAAGAAGCACTGGAGGACAAGCGCATGCAGGAAATAATAGCTGCTGCGAGCACAAGAAACACAGACTGGAACCCGATGTATTGGAACAAAGGAGACACAGAAACAACAGCCATACAGTGTAGATGAGAGAACGACGTGCTGAAACCCAGCGAAAACAACAGTAAAATAAAAGGGCGTCTATGACATATACTGGGGAAACAGTGGGACAGTTTGGCTGATTTATAAAAACTGCCAGAAAACCCACCAGCCCTCTACTTTCCTTCTCCCGACTTTTATCAATCAGAATCTACTAAGACTTAATGTGGACCCGAAGACAACAAAAATCCTGAAAAAGCTACCCTTTCCCCAAAATTCCTCATGAAAAATAGCAGTGCACTTCCTGACATATGGCTGTGCCCAGGCACTCCTGTGTTGTATCATCATATGACTGCGCCCAGGCACTCCTGTGTTGTATCATCATCATATGACTGTGCCCAGGCACTCCTGTGTTGTATCATCATCATATGACTGTGCCCAGGCACTCCTGTGTTGTATCATCATCATATGACTGCGCCCAGGCACTCCTGTGTTGTATCATCATATGACTGCGCCCAGGCACTCCTGTGTTGTATCATCATATGACTGCGCCCAGGCACTCCTGTGTTGTATCATCATATGACTGTGCCCAGGCACTCCTGTACTTAATGCTCATGTGACTATGCCCAGGCACTCTAGCTTTCGGGTGGGCCCTCAACATGCTCGCTTACAGTGCAGGACTGTTGGTCCTGCTTTGTACTTGATGAGGTCACAGTTGCAACACTGTATAGAAGACCAGTCACATGGATGGAGGAGCCTAAGGGAGCGATGGATAGGGTGACCAAATGTGCTTTACACTGGTATGCTTGGCAAAAATGGGCATTTGTCGTCCCCTGTATTTTTCTCACCACAGTTTTCAGAATTGTGGATGTCCTCGGTTGGGGGCTACTGATGTTCAGTCAAGTCAGGTATGACCCACAGAGCTGCCCTGAGAGAGGAGCAGTGAAACCTGTACATGTAATACCCCAATATGGCTGCCTCCCCATATATGTGCATATTTACAAACTATACCCGGAAACAATGATTTGTAAAACATTAATACAAACTCAGCGATAATATTGATCACATCGTCTGGATCTCATTAACAATACAGGCAGTCACCAGGTTAGGAACAAGATAGAGACTGTAGGTTTGTTCTTAAGTTGAGTTTGTATGTAAGTTGGAACAGGTAAAATTTTTTAACTGTAACTCCGGCCAAAATGTTTTTGTTTTGGATAGCATAGGGAAGGGTTAACCCCCTGTAACGTTTGTTTTGCTGTGTGTACCCATGTTCAGAAGATTTCACCTCACTTTCTGTCCCTGTGACAATTGGATTTTGAACATTTTGGGTTGTCATGGAAACAAGGATTGGTGATAAACCTTCAGTGGAGACACCTTCTTCCTATGATCACTCTTACAGGACTGAATTTCCCTTCCTAGGGGTAGATTTCCTCTCACTTTCTGTTGTCTCAAGGACAGGAAGTGAGATTCAATCTTTCTAATGAGGATACAGACAGCAGTAAAAACCTCACAGTGACCCGGAAGAAGAGGCGAGCACGAGGGGTGCTCGCCTTCTAACACTTCTGCACTTCTAACGAGAGCCAACTTCCTGTAATGTACGTACAGTACTATGATACAGACCCAAAATGGCGGGCACTCCTCATCGGCACGAGCGCGGTAGCATTACAACTACCCCTGTTGTACAGGAATAGCGTCTGTTTGTAAGTAGGAGTCGTCTGTAAGTCGGATGTATGTAACTCGTGTTTAATTACCGCCACAAGAGTGGGGCATCTCCTGGGTAATAATACAGTTAAGCAATTCATAAACAAACACTATGAAATGCCTTGTGCCTTAGTGATATTAATATCCTATTAAGGTGATACATTTGGCTCGCACTATGTCAGCTTCCTCTGTGTAAAAGTAGTATGGGTAGAAACCTGCAGACTATTGGGTTTAGAGTTCATTTACTTTTGTTAGAGCTGGTCATGCCAAAAACAAAACAAAAAAAAGCAAGAAGCAGAAGAGGAGCAAATAAAAAGGAGTAAATATTACGGATAATGACCTGCTGGAAGGAGGCAAAGCTTACACTTTTAGGTACTTCATATGCGATCTGAGTGGAGACTCCGCCCATATCCAAGATGCCCACCGTGCGCTTACGTATGATGGCGTCCTTGTGATCGCTGCCAGGCACATTGACCTCTACTAGTGCTTCATCTTCTGTGGAGGAAGAGATGAGTTCCACAAGTATAAGAACATATATAATAAATAATGCCTTGCCGGATTTATGTCATGATCAACCGGTATTTTATGCATCGATCATAGAGCTATAACAAAACACCTTCAATGACCATTTAGTAGGTCAAAAGGGAGCAAATCAGAGACATTGATAGGAATTTATCAGAACTGGAGCTTACAAAATCTGGATCAGCTTCTCTCTTTCATTTTCAAAGCTTAACTAAACAAACTGAAGCTGGAAGCTGATTGGTTACTATAGACAACTGCTCCTGGTTCTGTCTGCTCCAGTTCTGCTACATTCCCCCCACTCTATTTCATGGCTTACATATACAATAAGATTAGGGATGCTCCGATACCAGTTTTTCAGTATCGAGTACCGATATTTATCGGTCTGTACTCTCAGATACCGAGTACCGGTACTTCCGCCAGCATGGAGTCAGCTTCCCAGGCCATCAAGAAGCTGGGAGGCGGGTAATGACCCGCCGCCCGGCTTATTGATTGCCTTGGAAGACGCCTCCGTGCTGTTTGACCGGCTCAATGCTGATTGACTGGGAAACCGGCCTCCTGGCCAATCAGAATTGAGGGCCCTGTCACACCATGCCCGGACCAGATCTGCACACGTGGTGCGGTGTGTTTGCGACGCGTTCCAGTGTGGGTTTTTTTTTTTAAGAGGGTAATGTCGTTATGCAAATTAATCTTTTCCTGCTCCATGTCATAGCTTCTGTTGCGTTCCGGAGCAGTGCAGTGCGTTTGTGACATGCAGCATTTTTTTTTCCTGCACTGGAACGGACTGGACTGGTGTGAACAGAGCCCAAAAATCACATACAAATGCAGTGGAATGCATTTTTGGTGCGGAAGAAAAATGTAACGTACCGCATCTGATCTTAACATGGTGTGAATGGGCCCTGAGCCGGCCAATCAGCATCTTCCCGGCCAATCAGGAAGCTGGGCGGTGCATCGGAGCATTTGGGAGAGTACGAGTACCTGCTAGTATCGATGTCGGTGCATCCCTAGTAATGGTAATAATACAGAATATGCGGTCAAGATAGTAACTGCAGTGTAAGCTATGTCACTTCTCACATCATTGGCAGATCAGTGTGGGCAAGAGAACAAAAAATAAAAACCACTTACCATCGTCTAAATGATCAAAGCGACCCAAAACAAAATTGATGCCGATCCAAGCGTAAACTCCTACAAAAGCCAACAAAAACAGGTCACTTATTATATCCAGAGCAGCTCACTGTGCATCATTGGGCTCTTTTTATCCTAGTATGTAAAAGGAAGGACTTGTTGCCTACGGCAACCAAATCCTCCATCTCATTCTTCAAGTTCATCAAAAGGGAATGAACGGAGGGATCTGGTCACTACAGACAACAAAGTCAGTTTCTCCATCCAGCAGAAGAAAAGCTGGCCACACACCAGATTCTACTGGGATAGTTTATTGAAACTTGGACCACATCACTGGTGTCCTACCCAACGTCCACCCCTCTGACACGTTTTACCCAATCACGGGCTCAGTCATTGAGAGCTCTATTACTATGCCTTTTGAGTGGGTGAAATGGGTCAGAAAGGTGTCTTCGCCCCAATAGGAGCCCACACACACTGAAGAAAAGCTGGCCGCACACCAGATTCCCCTGGGATAGATTATTGAAGCTTGTACCACATCACTGGTGTCCCACCCAAGGTCCACCCCACTGACGCGTTTCACCCAGTCACGGCATAGCAATAGAGATCTTAATGACTAAGCCCGTGATTGGGTGAAACCTGTCAAAAGGGCGGACCATAGACGGGACACTAGTGATGTGGTACAAGCTTCAATAAACTATCCCAGGGGAATCTGGTGTGCAGCCAACTTTTCTTCTGTGTGTGTGGGCTCCCATTGGAGCAAAGACACCTTTCTGACCCATTTCACCCACTCAAAGGCATAGTAATAGAGCTCTCAATGACTAAGCCCGTGATTGGGTAAAACGTGTCAGAGGGGTGGATGTTGGGTGGGACACCAGTCATGTGGTGTGTGGCTGATATAGGAGCGATGACGTGCTTCCTGCGGCAAGCACCCGGCTCATTCCTTTCCTGAGCCATGGAGCTTCTTTTGTGTGCTCTGTGCTCTGACTACTGTAAAGCTACATGTGCAGAGACTACATCTGATGAAATCCTCATGGTATACAGTACTTTATACAGAAAGGGGCCATTGTTCATACAACAACCCACTCATTGTAAAAGGGAAGCCTTTAGGATCATGAAATGGCTGCATTGTATGTGGGTGGATAAGACTTCCATTGAGTGCTGTGTAGTTGTCAGCTTCACATACCTTCCTGCTTCCCTGAGATGACCTCTGTGTGGGAGTCGGAGAAGAGAAAGTCGTAATGTACCGGGATATCAGTCCGCAGATCTTCAAGGATGGCCTCCTGCTGGCTGAAACATATAACTGCAATAAGTACATGTTGGCTGCAGACATGAGGAGGAGGCACAGCGGGGTCACATTCAGCAAAATATGTAAATAATCCTATGCTGGGTTATAACCTCAAGCCACACAAAAGCAGAAGCCACGGCCAGCACAGTACAAAACAGAAAATAAGCGGCCGGGGTCTGAGAAGCCAAAAATTTACCAGAAATCCAGAAATAGAAAAGAACATCTCTGCAGAGACTGGACGGGTTTGTTCAGATGTTAACGCTAATACCTAAACTACTTCATACAAGAGTCTGGCAGCTATGTGCCAAATACATCACAGCTCCAACACCGAGGTGTGAATGACCCTTTCCCAAACACTGGTCCAAATTTAAAGCTGACCACCAGCCTTGCTCAGTTGCACCGGCTCTTCTCCTGGACTGAAATGGCTTCCTCTGATTTCACCACACCCTGCGAGCTTCTCATAATGTGCATTAGAAGCTGCAGCAAGTCAGACAGAGCCTCCCTCATTTCCTGGCTGGAGACATTCAGCATCATCTAGCACTTTTTTGCCCAGCCTGACTGTTCCTGGCCCCGCCCCTTTCATTCATTGGGTTTCAGATCTTCCAATCATGGAGGCTCACATCACATGTGGGTGTTGCCTAATGTGGTCTCTTTGCAAATTCAGCCTGCCTAGGAACTCCGACTTCTCCAGTCGGACATCCACTCAGAAGGGCATTTTGATATTTGCATAACTCCTCCCAAGTGCCAGCCCACTGCTTGCATTAGGGCTCTTGAGAGAAATACTGGGGCAAGGCGTGGTTATGTTTTCAGGAAGCTATCACAGCACCTTGCCGGCCCCTCCCACCAGCCATGACCTGCCTGCATTGCATAGAAAAGAACGGACATCTAGTGATTGTGTCACAGTGTCTAAAAGAAAGTATATCATGAAAACAGAAAGATTTTTATTGAAACATTTCATTAGCTTGTTAATAAGGGGAAACGGAGGAGCCAGGGAACCAAAATGCAAGCAGATTAAAATTTAAATGAGCTTTCATGAATGGTAAATGCACAGATCTGAACAAGTCCTGAAAGAACTTGACACTATAGTAGATTGGGATTTTAGCGAAGTAAAATGTGTAGCAGCCATTAACTACTACAAACTAGGGATGTCCAGATACCAGTGCCGATACTTGGCATTTTCACAAGAACTACCAGGGTTGCAGCTGGGACCTGGCTCTGGCACTCCACCACTGTCCTGAAATAATTTGTCTGTATTGTTTTAGAAAAACTGTTGTTACATGACACTAAACAAAAATGTATCAGTACTCGTATCAGTGCATCCCTTATATATATTTATAAAAAAAATATATAATGCATTAAAATGGGGTTGTACAAATCCCAGGAGCTCAGTGTGCTCCTTACAAATGACAGCTGCCTCCTAACTTTTGAGTTTTTATCTAGTCTAGTCTTGGAGCTGGAAAAGTATCTTTACTTGTACCGAGTACGATACTTGGTATCTGAACATCCCTACTACAAAGGTCTTTGTTTTTTCCAGTCTCTTTGGTTACTTCCATAGCCAGCTCTTAATGCTCAAGAATGGGTTGTGTTGGAGCATACGGAGATCAGCTCCTCGCCAGGTTCCCACCATCAATACTAGAAAGCTTGCTTTTGCCTCATGAAAAATCCAGTCTAGCAGCATCCTCCACCTTCCCCATTCTATGCAAACTAAAAAATGTTCTGCACTGGAGTTGGCTTTTACCTCTTCTACGCTGTAGGCCGCCATACAAGTCATACTTACCACCTGGACAGCCAATTCATTTTCTAAGGGTGACATTGGACACATCTTCTGCCACCATTCATTCCCCACTACTGGTATGTGTGGCTGTCCATCAAAGGGAAGGATCAATAGTGAGTCACAAGAAGGTCTTAAAAAGGGACCAAAATGTAGGACAACATAGCTGAACCGGAAAGTGAGCTGAATTAGAGAATGTTGTCCTAGATTGTTCACTTCTCCAAACTCTTAAGACTGTAGGCCTCATTCACACGAGAAAAAAGCCGGCACGTACAGCTCCGTGCTGTGTGCGCAGCCGTATCGGGCAGCTCCCGGGAAGGACAGGTGCTGTGTGTGATTAGTACGCAGCCCTTGTCCTTCCCTATGGGAGTACGCAGCCGTACACCACCCTATGCTCACCCCAAGTGCAGGTTCGTACGGTACGGGTGTCCCGGTTCGGATGCAGACAGTATCCATCCTATCAGCTTACGAGTACGGACACCCTCACGGACATGCAGGGCAGGTAAGCGTAGGGCGGCGTACTCCCATAGAGAAGGACAGGGGCTGCGTACCAATCACACGCAGCACCTGTCCTTCCCGGGAGCAGCCCGATACGGCCGTGCACGGAGCACGGAGCTGTACGTGCCGGCCTTTTCTCGTGTGAATGAGACCTGAGTCAATAACCCTGTATGTGTTTAAGGCCCTCTAGATGCCCGCTATGCAAGGCTAACTGCAGTTTATGGCAATTAAGTAAAAATAGGTTCACGTTAAAGTGCAACTGAAGCCAAAACTTTGGTTTTTTTTTAGTTTGGATAGAGTGGAGAGGGATTAAATCGCCTGTCGGGTTTTAATGCTGTGTCCCCGGTTAGAGAGATACAGAAAATGTCCCACCGCACTCCTTACCGGAAAGCCCCTTATAAATGGGTGCTGAAGTGACTGTGGATGGTGGTGCCCCAATACACAGAATAGGAAGATGTCACCAGCGCACTGCAAATGTGTCCAAGCAAACGCCTTTTTATTGATGCATAGTGTCACAAAGAAAGCAACGTTTCGGGGCCCTGCACGGTCCCCTTTATCAGGCTCAGTACTCCCTGCTAGGGAGATTCCCCCGCTCTATTTGCCTGATGTTCATTATCACGGAGGGCGAAAGAAATCCTAAATTTTGTTTTGTCCCCAGAACAGGAATAGATAGGAAATCCCCCCACTTGGACACTAGTTGCGACTCTGATGACCAGCAGAGATTTCCCTAACTTTGGAGGGATGTCCTCTCATTGTCTGTTGTGGCTATGGAACAGGAAGTGAAGGGAGATGTCCCCAATGGGACACAGATGGCAAAAAAACCTGGTAGAGTAAGGGAGGGTTAAAACCCTTTTGAAAAATAAAGAAAGTGGTGGCTTCAGTTCTACTTGAAATTGTACCTGTACTTGCGACACCTTTTGACAACTGACTAATAGCAAGAACAATGTGCAAAAGCTCCTAATGCATAATAATAATAAGCTTTTATTACTACATGCAACAAAGCAAACGCATACACTTGGCTGCAAACAGCTCACAGTGGTGCGGTCAAAAAACAGGACAGTTCTGTATCTTGTATGATAGATGCCGTTGTTTATTGTGGTTGCTTTAGGCCAATTCTGGTAACAAAGGACGGGCTTGTGGACAGACCACAAGAGGCATTCCCTGCAAACCATTGTTCCTGGAATTGTTGCACCTGGTTAGGATCTTCCAAGCATCATCATTCCCCGAAGATAGTACTGGGGGTATATGTTTGGTGCACAAACATGCATGATCCGACAATGAGAGCATGTCTAAACTATTATCTGAAAGAAAAATCAACATTTGGAGCCTGGACTGTGAGCCCACATCCTATTGTATGTTTGGTGTATGGCCAGCTTTAGCTCCAGTAAGTATCTGTTCTTATCAGTGTTCAGGAGGGGAATCGTGCCTCTGTTCTTGCCTTCAAGTGACATTAAACTCTCAGATTTTTTTAACATAAACCAATACTGTAATGTGTGCCTTACTGTAATCCGTGGTAGTTTGCCTTCTCTTTGCTGCTCTTCCTTTTAAATCCTTATCTCTTCTCATGCTTGGGGAGAACTTCCCTTTGCAGCTGAGTGCCTCTTCCTGTAGTGCTGGCTCAGGTTGTGAACCTGCACACAGACACCGTGTATCCATTCCAGAGACAAGGCAGTCTGCTGCAAAACAGAAGTTCTGCCCAGCATGAGAAGAGATACAGATTTAAAAAGGAAGAGCAGCAAAGAGAAGGGAAACAACCATGGATTATAGTAAAGGTGCCCATACACCTTACGATTATCGGACGATAATCGTATGCGATTGACTTTTCGAACGACAATCGTACGTGTGAATAGAGTGCCCGAACCGACATTACTGTACAATCGTACAACTTTTGACGGTCAAGCATGTTTGCAAACTTTGCTCGATCGTACGATTGTCGTAAGGTTGCTGGCGTTTCCGTCCGTCAAAAGTCGTACGATCTACACTGCGCATGCGCGAACGAAAATACGACAAATCAATTACCGCTTTTCATCCAGGTGTTTTTCGTTAATTACGGCTAAATTAATCTTGCGATCATCGGGGCAGGATGGGGCTGTCGTACGAAAATCGTACGACTATTCGATCATCGGATGAAAAGTTTCGTCCCATAATCGTAAGGTGTATGGGCACCTTAAGGCGCACATTACAGTATTGGTTCCTCAAAGTTATTCCAGCAATGTGTGACAGCCAATGTACCCTGGATATGTATGGCTTGCTGCAAGGAAACCACTTGGCAAGTGACACTTCACGTAATATAGGACCGGCTGCGTCCGGTGTGAAATGTTCTAAGCGCTGACATTTACTCCCTTGAAAATA